GGATGGAGTGGGTAGAGTGGAGGGAGGGCGTGTATATGGATGGATGGAAGGTTGGATGGGTGGATGGAGGGAGGGAGGAAGGGAGGGATGGAGAGAGGGCATGTGGATGGATGGATGGGGAAGCAAAGGAGGGGATGCATGGAAGGTTGGATGGGTGGATGGATGAAGGGGGGAAGGGAGAGAGGGAGGGAGCGCGTGTATATGGATGGATGGATAGATGGATGTGGCAGCTGGGCTATTACCCCTGACGGTGACACTGACAGGCATCGGCTGATCTGTCAAACTGCCGACCTCCCCCAGGGCCGAAGGAGCTGCTGATGGACTGAGTGCCTGGGTCCCCCCCCTCAGGGGGGGGTGGTTAGTGACATGAGACAAGGCAGAGCTGTTTAAATGCAACACGTCAGCTAAGTACAAGTCCAAGCCCCCTCCAGTGGCCTGGCCCACACTGAGGATAAAAGCCTACTGCTGCTGCCAGTTAATGGAGCGACTCCTTTATGCCACCTAGAGGATAACAGCCCTGCTACCGCTGCCAGCTAATGGAGCGAGTCCCTTTAGCACCATCTCTAGCGGATCACAGCCTGGTTGCTGCTTCGATAGTAGGTGTCCATGCGTTGCACAGGTAGATTCCCGGTTCAGAGCCAGCTCGGTCTCACAAGCACATGGGGCAACTTCACCCCCAGCCCGGGATGCTGCATCGAGGCCAAGGGTGAATCTGGGGGAGCCATCGTGGGCACTGGGATGCTGCTTTCAATCAACAGCCTGTCTGTGCAGTGTGTGTACGTGTGTCTCGGATCCCTGCCTCCAGCGTGTGTCTGTCTCCGGGGCTCCCCAGCCCCTCACGTGTTCTCCCAGCTGCTCTGCACCAGGGGGGTGTGACCGATTCCCCTCCCAGCAGCAGCTGTGCTCCCGCCCCACAGCTTCGGGGCTGCCCGCTCGCGGCCGGGGGAAAGGATCTCAAGGCCTTTGCTGTGCCCCCTGCTGGCAGGGGCCGATACAGCCAGTACGGTGAGCGTGAGGAGACACCCCCCCCCACTCAGGGGAGATAATGATACATGTGAATCATTCCTCTGCCTACCCCTCCACTGCTGCCTCTGTCTCTCTAGCCCCCCACTCCCCGCCCAGAGCCTGGGACTGGACCCAGGAGTCCTGGCTCCCACTCGTAGGTATAGGCACAGACTACATAGCCGGTATCTTTGGAAAATCACAGCAGTAGCACTGGGACTGACGGCTCTGGGAGAGGAGTGGGGTCTAGTGGTTAGAGCAGGGGGCGCTGGGAGCCAGGACTCCTGGGTTCTATCCCCTGCTCTGGTAGGGGAGCAGGGTCTAGTGGTGGGAGCAGCGGGCAGATCACATTTCTCTCTGGGGCCCCATTCCCTTTGCCCCTTGATGGCTGGTTCTCGAGCACCCAGGCTCCGTGCGGCTCTTCACAGCAGGTGGCGGCAGCCCCCGAATGGCACAGCCTGGCAGCGCCACGCTGCGCCCCTCCAATAACAAAGCTGTTTGTCTGGGGCTGTGCTGATAGCTGGGCTGTGCAATCCGCTGATGTCACATGGCGGGGGGAGGGGGCTGCGGGTCGGGAGTGAGAGGCACCGGCAGAGCTGGGAGGATTGGGGGGAGCCCAGGCCTGGGATCGCAGGGGGCTGTGGGTCGGGAGTGAAGGGCACCTGCAGAGGGGTGTGTGTGTGTGTGTGTGTGTGTGTGTGTGTGTGAGAGAGAGAGAGAGAGAGAGAGAGCATCTGTGTCACCTGCCAGGTGTGGGAGTAGGACAGGTGTACCCAGCCTGGCGTCGTGTTGTGATTCTCTGTGACGTGTTAAGGGGAATCGCTCTCGCTCGTCCCGTTGTCCTGTCCCCACTGGGGTCTCAGACATACCCTTGCCAGCAGCCCTGGCTCTCCCTGTTACTACAGCACCAGGGACACACTCCACGATAACAAACCAGGTTCTGCTCTCAGCGGAGACCCTACAATAACAAACCAAACTGAACCAACCTAGTGCATAGAGACCCTACAATAACAAACTGGGCTGCACAGCCCCAGTGCTCCAGAGAGACCCTACAACAACAAACCAAACTGCACCAACCTAGTGCACGGAGACCCTACAATAACAAACCAAACTGAACCAACCTAGTGCATGGAGACCCTACAATAACAAACTGGGCTGCACAGCCCCAGTGCTCCAGAGAGACCCTACAACAACAAACCAAACTGCGCCAACCTAGTGCACGGAGACCCTACAATAACAAACCAAACTGCACCAACCTAGTGCACAGAGACCCTACAATAACAAACCAAACCACTCAGCCCTCAAACTCACAAGTCTTTGCAGCCCCAGAGCTAATGCACAGCCCACACTGTTTAAAATTCAGATTCTGGTGCAACCTTAACTAAGGCAGAGTCAGCACCCAACTGAGTTGTTAGACACAAAATGATCCCTTGCCTGGCTCTGAGATGCAGCCACCTCTGGGTTGGGGCAGCTGGGGAACAGCCACACATAACACTGCAAAGGGATGGTTTACCTGGCACTGAGATGCAGCCATCTCTGGGCCATGGCAGCTGGGGAATTGAGGCACAGAGCAACCAAGTGCCTAACTTCCAGTGGGGAGTCTAGGGGGCAGCAATAGGAATTGAACAGGGTGTCACTGAAGTACTAGGCTGGAGCCCTGACCATTGGCCCATCCTGCCTCCCTGGCCCTGCTACTGAGTCTGTTGCCTAGGATCTGCGAGGCTGACTTGCTCGGGAGAGAGGCCAGGACTTCAGGGTAACATGGGGCCAGAACCTCGCATCTGGGCATCTCTTGTTTAAAGGCGGCTGGGCTGAAACTCCAGAGTCCCTGGGTGGGAAGTCACTGCTGTTACACCAAAAGGGAAACTGAGGCTAACAGAACCCAAGACGCCTGGCTCCCAGCCATTCCCCTCCCCAGCTCTAACCACTAAACCCCACTCTCCTCTCAGAGCAGGGGATAGAACCCAGGAGTCCTGGCTGCCAGTGCAGCAACTATCCTCCGGCCTCATAAAAGAGACGCATTAGCTGCTCCCTTTAAGATCCTTAATTGTGCCAAATTACTTCCTGACCCTGCCAGCCGGGGTCCCATCCATGCCCAGAAGCAGAGCGTGGCCACCCCCGCCCCCCCGCCCCTGGTTCTCCTTTTACCAGCTCCTAACGCTGCCTCAATACCCCCTCGTCCCATGGAGACACCTACCCAGAATCCACAGGTTGTCTCCAAGCGTCCGATCTCCGGGGTCCAGCCGAGATCTGGGAAGGGTTTGTGTCCTTGGGGTGGGTACCAGCGTCTGCCAGCCTCGATGGCAGGCTCACCAGAGCCAGATGGGCACGACGAGGAAGCGACAGAGCAGGACTCAGCACAATGGCTCCCTTTGTAGGGGAGTTCGGGGCCAGATGTGGGGCAGGGCTTATGTACTGATGGGAGGAGCGGCGGGGACAGGGGGGAGGAAGGAAAAGGGGGTTGGGGTGGGATCTGGGAGGCAAGGGGGCTGGGGCCAGAATCTCGGGGGGTGGGGGAAGACAGGCAGGAGGAGCTCCCCCCACCACACACAGAGCCCCCCCCCACACTCCCCAGAGCCCCAATAGACACACACACTAAAATACAGCCCCCCCACACACAGCCCACCGCCCCCCCAAAAGAGCCACCACGTCAATATGCCTCAGTTCCCATCCAGCTCCAGGACATGGCTTATGGGGGAGGGGGCTTTGCCCTCTAGGGGGCTCTGGCTCTGATTCAGCCCCATGGCAAGGGACTGGCTGGCTGAGGGGGGGCGGGGAATGGGGTATGGGGCCTTTCTTATCTAGGGGGCACTGGCTCCCTGGGCTGGAACTGGGGAGCTCTGTGTCCACAACCATCAGCCCTTTCCCCAGGGCAGATGTGTCCTGCTGGGATCTGGGGCTGAGGCCTCGGCCAGCGCGTTACACGGGGCGCTCTGAGCAGGGGCTGGATTCGACCCAGGGATCGGCGGCGAAAGGCCAGCGAGCAATCCCCACTCAGCCAGCCCCCTGCGCGCATCATCGATGCTCAAAGGCCAACCCTGCCGCGCTGCCGGGCGGACTCGGACGCTGCAGGTGCAGCTGGGCCCACGACGCCTCTGGTGGGCTCCATAAAGACGGGCAAAACTTCACAAAACGTGGGCCCAGTGTAACTGGGGAGCCACAGATTCTGGGGCCAGCCAGCACGGTCTGCAATTGACTAGCCCAGCTGAGATGCATCAGGTGTTTTCATGAAGGGACTGGGGGGGGGGGGGGGGAGGAGTGCAGGAAGGTGGGTAGGTGACTGATTGATTGATTGGGCTTGTAGTGGAGCTGAGCGAAGAGCCCCTGCGGCCGGCACATTCTGTGCTATGTTGCCAGTGTTGTTTGTGTGAATAAAGCAACGCTCTGGAAAAGGGACCTGAAAGATTCAGGGAGACCTGCCATGGCATAAGAAGCGTACAAGGAATCATTGCATTCGATTATAGCCAGGGGGGCAGCATGCACAGATCTAAAACAGAGATCTCCCATGCAGGGTGTTTGAACATGGTGCCCGGCTGGCCAAGGACAAGCATCTTTTGGAAGGAAGATTTCCATGAAGGAACAGCGTCCTTGGCCCATTTTACTCACCCCATTGCTACACTATGTCTATATATAGGCTTGGAAGGATTAGCTTTTTATCGGTAAATGTCGATTTCACCATACACACGCAATGGGGTTGCCAGTTTTGGTTGGACGTACTCCGGGAGTTTCATCACGCGACATAATCTTTCATTAAAGGTTAATCGTTCACTCCTGGAGGCTCCAGGGCAATCCTGGAGGGTTGGTGACTCTACACACAAACCGACGAAAAATTATTCCCATCGACAAAAATCCAAACTTTTCGACAGGCAAAGTAAGAAAACAGCAGCTTGTGAGATTATCACCGTTTGATTTAGGGCGGTTTACTTTGTATATTTGGAGACGTGATGTTGACAACTTGTGTTCGAACGGCTCGAGAGCTTTGTTGTTTTGAATCTCCACGTCCAGAAGGGACCAGTGGTGACAGAAGATGCTCGTGGAAGGACAAGGTGGTGTCCTGGATGGATCAAAAGGACTAGTCAGCCCTGAAGAGGTTCACAGAGGATCATGCAAAAAGCTCCAGGGATGGAGCTGCCCCATAAGAGGGAGATTGCTGCAGGACCATTATGTCGCTGTTATTGTGATTATTTGTACTGTCATCATGCCTGAAAGCACCAGTCCTGGACCACAACCCCACTGTGCTAGGAGCTGTACGTTATCATTTATTAGGTGCATTACAGGAGCAGTAAACAGCCTTAGGTATGGCCCATGGCTCCATTGTGCTAGGTGGTGTACATTATTAGTATTATTTATTAGGTGCATTACAGTAGCATGTAGGCGCCCCACTCAGGGACCAAAACTCCCTGCTGTACATTAATAGTGCAATTTATTAGGTGTATTACGGTAGTGCCTAGGCCCTCCATTCATGGCCCAGGGCCGGTTGCGCTAGGCGCTGTACAAACACAGAACAAAAAAAGACAGTCAGGAAGGGGGCCGGTCTCATCACATTGCAGTTTGCTGATCCACATCTGTGGCTGGCCCCGGAGCTGAAGTGGAAACTGAGGCACGAATCGCCTGACGCCAGATGGGACGGGCGGCGAGGTGCACCCAGCCTGCCTGCACCAATGCAACACGTTCCCGACCCAGCGTGCCCTAGCACAACATATGTCTGTGCCTGGAGTAACCCTCTGCTTGCCTGCGGTTTAAATCCGCCTGCGTGCACCAGAGCCCAGGGCAAGTGCTACGTGGCAGGCAGCGGAGTAATGTAGGTACTAGTCTCTGTTAACCCACCTCTCGGAGCGGCGCTAGCTAGATGGACAGAAGAATTCCACCACTGACCTAGCTGCGTCTACACTGGGGCTTGACCTAACTAACTCACGCTGGGTCGAGCTGATTTCTAGATGTCAATTCAATAGCTCTTCCCCCTTGCTGCTGTTCACCCCGAAACATTTGGTGGGCTAAGCCAGCCAATCTCTTTCAGTCAATCCCCTCTCCTAAGGTCCGCTCTGCATTCCCCTGAGCCTCGGAGCCGACCACCTCCACGCCCGGGCCAGCGTGAAGCCAAGGTTTCGAGATGAACTTGTGTGGCAGCCGTCATGCCAGCGGCCCGGAAACCTTCCTTCGTGGTTTGTTTGACCTCTAGCGAACAGCTTCTCGGAGGCCTGGTAGCTAAACCAGGAGAGTCAGTCCCTGCTGTGTCCTGGCACGTGTCTCTCAAACGTTTGAGGTGCCACGCCCTGCAGGTGCCCAGTGCAAAGCTCCGATCTTGAGTCACGCACGCACATTCCTGGGGCCCACCCAGGGCTGGGTTCAGGCAGTCAGAGAAGTGGCCGTATCTGAAGACCCCTCAGTTGGCTGGCCCCTGGCGCGGGGCGAGAAAGCTGGTGGCAGTCACGGAGCGTCCCGTCCCGCTGGACGGGCACACAAAGGCCGTGCTTGTGAGCGCCCATGAGTCACGGCGATCCTGCAGAGCAGTGTGACTGATTCATCGCGCAGACAAAGGCAGCAAGGAACAGGATCACCGGCCACCGACCCCTCGCAGTTGGGAGCAGAGAATTGGCTAATTGTTCCGGGCAGCGGGGCGGGTAATTAACTCACCCCAGAGTGTGCTGGCCGGACCCATCTGGATACCTGCAGCCGTTCTCCTCCTTCTCCCCTTGTAAACACAAGGCAGCAGGACATGGGAGAGAGCGGGGGGAGGGGAGTCAGGACTCCTGGGTTCTATTCCCAGCTCTGTGAGGAGAGTGGCGTCTAGTGGTTAGAGGATGTGGGGCTGGAAACCAGGACTCCTGGGTTCTGTCCGAAGCTCTGGGAGGGGAGTGGGGTCTAGTGGTGGGAGTCAGGAAAGCGGTGAGTCAGGACTCCTGGACTGTAGCCCCAGAGCTGTGAGAAGAGTAGGGTTTAGTGGATAGAGGCAGGGGGAGGGTGGCTGGGAGCCAAGACTCCCGGGTTCTATTCCTAGTTCTGCTCCTTAACCAAGGCCTGGGCTAAATGGACCTCTCGCCGTGGGGCAGTATGGCAAGGAGGGATACCGGGGTAGATGGGCCCATTACTTTGGTCCAGTGCAGAGTGGGTTACACAGCTGATAAGTGGCCTACGGAGAGGAACAGAGGCAGGGAGCTGACTGCAGACAATCCCACACCATCATGCTGTGCCCATGGAGCAAGGAGAGGCTGGTAAGTCTCTGGGAACAGTGACCCCTACTGACCAGGTGGGGGGCCTACCTCGTGGTGGCACTTTAAAGGTGTCTGGGGCATCTGTATCTGAACACTGGCGTTTTACCGCCCTCTGCTGACTGGGGTAAGCACCTAGGCTTGGCATGCAAATAAAATCAGGGCTGCAAATTCCTGCAGCACAGCGCCCCCTAGCGTTATGTCCGGGCATTGGGGCCAGCCCTGACTGCCAGGGGCGAGCACCCCCATCCTGTCCCGCTCCCTGCAGCATAGCGCCCCCTAGGGCATTGGGGACAGCCCTGATTGCCAGGGGAGAGCACCCCCACCCCATCCCGCTCCCTGCAGCACAGCGCCCCCTAGTGCACACCTAGCCAAGCTGCTGGTCAATATGTTTATTCCCCAGCCCCTCGAGCCGATGTCAGCTGCAGCCCCCTCAAGCCATGATGGCTCCTGGCTTCCTGCGGCAGGATTGCAGGATGCTGAGGAAGAGGAGGAAGATGAGGAAGATGGCCAGCCCCACCACCAGGGACTCGATGGCCGAGTAGGCGCGGGTCAGCTCCGGGGCGGGGGCCAGCACCCTAGGCGGGGTGACCAGGAACCGGCCCACCAGCCGGCCCCCCACGTAGCACTGGTAATAGCCGGCATCGGTGCCATTCCAGGAGGAAAGCAGCAGGGTCCCGCCGCCGGTCGCCTTGTCCAGGCCGATGGAGCCGTTGCGTTGATGAAGGTCCAGCCAGGTCAGGGCGGTGGGGCCTTCCTGCCAGTACACGGGGCTGGGAGCAGACAGAGAGAGGTTAGCAGAGCCGGGCGTGGGCCTTGCACATGCTCACTGGGGTGCCAGGACTCCTGGGTTCTCTCCCCAGCTCTGGGAGGGGAGTGGGGTCTAGAGGTTAGAGCTGAAAGGCTGAGAGTAAAGCATTACCCTTCTGGGGGACACCAGCTCTGCTCCAGCCCCAGAGCGGGGAACTGGCTGGCTCAAGGGCGGGGAATGGGACCCCTCTAAGGGGTGCTGGCTGGAATGAGTTCACCCAGTCTCTGTCCATTTCAGCTGGCACTAATCAGCCCCCTTGCTCTCATCACCAGAGGCCGAAGGCTGGCTATCCATGGAGCCTGATCTCCCTTAGAGGGAGACCCTGGGGGTGGGGGTGTCTGGGGTGCTGGGCTGGGGGGGCTAAATTGGTCCAGGTGGCCAGGACTAGGATGGCAGGAATCTCTCCCTCCCTCTGTGCTTATCTCTGGAATTAACAGGCAGCAAAAATGTCAGAGTCAGCGTCTGAGATGTGTCTGGCCCACAAGATATTACCATCCCCACAACAGCAAATGCCAACCCCACCAGAGCCTTAAGCACGGGCTGGGGCTAGAGTGGAATCAGATTTGCCAGTGAGACGTCTGCAGCCGGTAGCTAAACTCATCTGCACTGATGTGTTATGAACATACACAGCTAGGCAGGGCTGGAGTGGGGATGCCACCAAACAGGCCTCATGCAGGATTTGAACCCTAGTGCTTGAGTTACAGGAGAAGCATGGTTAGCTGATAGCAGTAGTAGGTTATTCTCCAATGCATCAGCCACAAGAGGGCGACCTGGCATTCACTTTTAATGAGGTGTTCTGTCGAAAAATTGCGAGATTGCCTTAAAAATGGTGAGATCAGCTTCAAAAACTCTTTGTTTGGTTTAAAAAATGGCGAGATTGGCTTTAAAAAAAGTCTGAAGCTGGTTAAAAAACTGTGAGAGCAGCTTCCAAATATCATAAGGTTAAAGAAATGATCAGTGTCAGGCTGGTTTTATTTGGCCCTTTGAAGTTGGAGGTGGGAGGAGTCACATTTCCAAGGTTTTCTCTGTAGCCATGAAGACTAGTCATGTTTTTTCCGTGAAAGCTGAGAGGCTCTAGAACTAACATGATTCCAGCAGTTGAGGGCTTTAGGAAAATCACGAGTCACAGTAAAATCATGAGAGCTGGCACCACTGGATGCTACCAGAAAATAGTGCATGGGGAATGAATTAACAAGGTGTGATCTTCCTGTCGGGATCTGGGATGAAGTTAGTGGATGGGTCAGAAGCCCCCAGAGGTGGAATTTGTATCCCCTGAGCAGGAGCTAGACGCCTGGGTTCATAGCCAGTATCTCTTGTATTAAAGTGTGCTGGGGTTTTAAAAGACCATACACGGTCCGGGACTCAATGTTACACTTTGCTAAAGATGGCATTGACATCAGCACTGATTATGAGGGGAGAGTGCTCCCACCCCACCCCCTGCAGCACTGCGCTCCCTAAGGCTATGCTGGGGCATCGGGACCAGCCCTGACTGCCTGGGGAGAGCCCTCACCCTGCTCCCTGTGGCACAGCGCCCCCTAGTGCCATGCTGGGGCATTGGGGCAGCCCTGACTGCCAGGGGAGAGTGCCCCTACCCTTCTCCCTGTGGCACAGCGCCCCCTAATGCCGGGCTGGGACTTCTTTGTTCCAGGCACTGTTTGATCCCACAGCTCAGTTTCAACCAGGGTGAAAGTTCAGTGCGATGGTAAATTATTAACCCGGCCCCTGTTCCCAACACCCACACAGGAACCAACTCAATGCAAACGAGCTGGGCCCGAGTTACTTCTGACTCCTTCCAATCTACCCCCATTCCCTCCCGGGGGCCCCTCCAGCTTCACCCCACCAAGGAGTCTGGATTTATCCCCGTACATTAGGGCCGGATTCTGCAACAGACCTGAGCTCCTGGCTAGGGGACAGATTTTTAGAGATGGGGGGGGGATATTGCTGTAGATAGGCCGCCCATGGGTCTGATCTGGGGTGGGGTGGGAATAGCAGCTGAGGTGGGACCATGGCTCTGATCTGGGGTGGGGTGGGAATACCAGCTGAGGTGGGACCATGGCTCTGACCTGGGGTAGCAAGGAGGGGACCTGATACCAGGGTAGATGGGCCCATGTTGTCTGATCCGGGGATGGAGGGTGGGGATACATAGCTGCATGGGCCCTTGGGTCTCCCCAGCATGGCATGGCTCCTTGTACCTGTATATGGAGGCCGTTGGGCACCTCAGCCTGGCGCTGGTGTGGGGCAGGGCTTGGTAGTGGGTGATGACAAGGAGGGGGGCCTTGCCCCATTCATCCCGGCTGGGGGTGTAGGCCCTGTCACATGGCACCTCACAGCTCTCCACCCGCAGCTCCGGCCCCCGCTGGGGCAGCCCTCGCCCAGCCAGCCCGCATGGCAGGGGCCCCTGGGGGCGCGACGCCAGCCGGGCGTAGCAGAACCCCACCCGCTTCCTCTCGCCGGGGCCGCCACAGCGGTCGCAGGGCTGCCAGCGCGCCCAGGCGGTGAACAGCTGCCCCTGTGCCCCGCCGGCCAGCTCCACGGTGGTGTTAGCCAGGGCAGCCTCTCCCAGGCTGGCGTGGCTGATGTGGAGGCGCCCGGCATCTTGGAAATCCACCTCGTAGTAGGCCAGCATGGCATCGCCTCGGCGGCAGGTGTACACGCCCGAGTCTTCCACGCTGGGATCCAAAATCCGCAAGTCGCCCCGGAGCAGCCGGGTTTTCAAGCGCAGCTGCCACAGCTTGGCGCGAGTGGGGATGAGTGCCAAGGGGTGCCCGGTGCGGATGAAGGTGGCCGGCCGCTCCCTGGGCCGGGAGGGATCCACATACTGCCAAGAGACCGGGCCCTGGTGAGGGGCGCCTGGGCACCTCAGGGTCACAGGGTTGTCTGAGATCAAGGCCAGGGTGCATGGGCGTCCCGGGAGGCAGAGCTCTGGCAGGGAGACGCCTTGGGATGGGTCGCCATTGGCCACGGCAGAGATCAAGGCAAAGAGAAAGCTGAGGGCCACTGCTCGGGGGCACATGGCTGGCTGGGGTGTGCCCAGAGGCTGGAGCAGGAGGCAACGGCTTGCTGACCTCATTGTGATGTCATCAGTCTGAGAGTGAGGTCATAATTGCCCTAGCTCAGCAGGGGCCAGTTGGGGAGCCCCAGGGAGAGTTGGATTCTCAGCTCCCTGAGGCCAATGGTTTTGAGAATCCTTGGGAAAGGTTTTGGGAACCATTTTATTGAGGGGAGTAAAGTTTTCAAAAACTTTTCATAGAGAAAACTAAGGTCCCAATCCTACAAACACAGATGCATGTGCTTGCAGCGGAATTACTTCACTCCCCCTGGGAACTCACTTGGCTATGTCTACACAGCCCTTTTGTCAATAAAACTTGTGTCAGTCAGGGGTGTGAAAAAAACATCTCCCTGACCGACAGAAGTTTTACCGATGTAAAGTGCTGGTGTGTACAGTGCTTTCGGCGGGAGACGCTCGCCCGCCAACAACACTACCGCCCCTCGTTGGGGGTGGTTTTATTTTGTCACAAAGAGCGGCTACACTGAGTACCTTACAGCAGCAGTGTAGACATAGCCTTAAAGTAGGCACATGTTTAACAGGAGCAGGACTGAAGCCCTGAGACCCTCCTCCCCTGTCGCCCATTCCCAGATTCTGGCAAACAAAAGCTAGGGATGCCCAGAGCGTGTGGATGCATGTTGTCACTTCTCTTATACTTACATTGAAAGCTCTTTGCAACAGGGACTGTCTTTCTGTCCTGTGTTTGTATGTCACCTAGCACATTGGGATCCTGGTCCGTGACTAGGGCACCTAGGTGTTACATCGATCTAAATAAAATAAATAATAATTAATAAACATTTTTTTTAAATTGGAAGGGGGAAAAGTTTTGGAAACTTTTATTGTGCCGAGAGTAAAGTTTTAAAAACTTTTTTTCCATAGGAAAAGTGTTTTAAACTCTTTTTGGGAGGTAGAAAAAAAAATTTGAAACTGTTTTTTGGAGGGGGAAATGTTTTTGAAATTTTTGTGGAAGGAGAAAAAGTTTCAGAGATTCTTGGAAGGGTAAAGGGTTTTCAAAACTCGGAGTAAAGTTTCAGAAACTTTTTTAAATAGGAAAAGTTTCTGAAACTCTTTTTAGAGGCAAAAAGTGTTTGAAGCTTTCTTTTGGAGAGGGAAAAAAAATTTAAACTTGTGTTGAGCAGGGAGGAAAGTTTCAGACACTGTTTGCAAAAAAAAGTTTTCAAAATCATTTGTTGGCAGTGGAAAAAGTTTCAGAAACTTTTCTGGAAGGGGAAAAAGTTTTTAAAGTTTCCACTTCCCCCTCCAAAAAAGTTTCTAAAACTTTTCATTCCCAATTTTGTTTCCTTCCTTTTAAAGTCTTTAAAACTTGTTGGACGGTGTCTGTTAGATCAAGATGGCTTTAGGCCTGAGGCCAATGGTAAAACTCCACTTTGATCCCAGGGCTACTGGCCCTGTAAGAAAGAGAAACAACACACACACTTTGCCTGGCTGCACCTGGGACAGTCCATTTCCCAATTATGTGAGGGGTGCTATATTTATTGTGAGTCAGAACTTCCCTCCTCCCAACTCCTTTAAAAAGTTACTTTGGTTTATCCCACTCCTTTCTCTAGGGTGTGCCCCTGGGCCAGTCCATTTTCATAAAGGGGGGAATGTTACATTCATCGTTCCCCCTTTTTAAAGTTACTTTGGTTTCTCCCACAACTTAGTCTAGGGTGTGTCCCTGGGCCAATTCATTGACATAGGGGGGAGGGCAAACCAACCAAGTTCTCTCAATTTCCAACCTACAAATTGGTTTGCCCCAAGTACCCTCCTATGGGTACCTGGGCCGGACCATTTTCAACCCCGGGGGGGGGGTCAGGGAGACAGGTGAGGTGTTTGTTTATTTTAAACCCCAGCTTTCAAGGGGAAGGGGGGAAGCCCCTGATTCAAAGACACGATGGACTCAGAGTTGACAGCCCACGCCTGAGGGGCTGCTGAGCAAGAGGGAAGTATTTCTCTTACTCCCCCCCCCACCTCCCGTGAGGAATTGGTACGTCCCGCCCCTTGGGCGAGGCTGCAGCACCTGAGCTGGAGACAGACGCGCGGAGCGAGCGGGCGAATCAATCGGGAGTCGGACGCGACCGAATCAAGCGGGCAGCGCCCCTCCCCCCCCCGGCGAGAGCCCGACGCAGGGGAATCAACCCGGCCGCCGGCTCCGTGTTGCTTGGGGGAGGCGGGGATGGAGACCCGGGGAGCCCAGCCGGCTCTGCGGACTCTGTTGTGGCTCCTGGTCGGCGCGTGGGTCTCAGGTAAGCGCCCTGCCCGGAGAGCGAGCGGCGGCGGCGCGCTATACCCCTCTACCCTCGCCCCTCCACCCTCCTCTGAGGGGGGAGTTGCGTGCTGCGGGGTCTCCTGCCCTGAGCTGCAGGGGGGTGGGAAGGGAGAAACTCGACGGCTGATTGGAGGAGAGAGTTGTGAGGGGGGATTAGCTCCGCCCAGCTGTGGCTCCCTCAGGGCGGGGGCTGCTGTGCCCCCATGGGGGCTGGGGGGTTGGAGTGGGTCCCTGAGCTCCCCCCACAGCTGGGTGTGCTCTTAGCCTTACTAGTTGGAGTGGGGGAGTCTCTGGGCTGCTCCCCTAGTGGGTGTGGGGCAGGGTTAGTGTGGGTCCCTGGGCTGCCCCTTGCCTGAGACCCCACTAGTGGGCATGGGGGGGGTTGGCATAGGGGTCCCCTTGAGCTACTGGGGCAGTTGTTTGTGGGTCCCAGGTAGTGGGGTGGGGGCAGCTCAGGGGTAGGATTGGGGGTCCCAGGTAGAGGGGTGGGGGCAGCTCAGGGGTAGGGTTGGGGGTCCCAGGTAGCGGCGTGGGGGAGTGGGATCAGAGAGATTGCATGTGTCCTTTCACTTCCCCCAATTCTGTCTAATCAGCCTGCTGTCTCTCTGCTGTGTGTGTGTGTGTTTAACTTTTCCCTCCAAGGTAAACAGGTAGCCCAAGAAGCTGCCAAATATAACTCCCTCCTTAGCCCTCACCTTTCCCACAACCCTGGGTTTCATGCCCGCTGGCCTGTTCTGCTTCCCACGCCAAGTGAGGTAACGGCGGGGTGTCCCGTGTCACCCACATATAGCTCTCTCTAGCGCGGGGCGCACCCCAATGCAGAGGCGCAGGTGTGGCCTCCTTCCTGGAAGGGCGGGCAACTGCCCTGTCCTGGTGAGCTCAGGTCTGTCGAAACTCCCGGCTGGGTGATGTGCCTTGAGGGAGGGGCTTTCTGTTACCCTGCGGGGTGGTGTGAACGCAGGGTGCTGGGAAAGCACCCTGATCTCTCAGCAAAAGATAGATAGATATAGCTGAGATCTCTGGGCAGGATCCCCCCCATTCGCCTGGGGTGTGGACCCCAGTGTCCTGGCCCTGTTCCAATTGTAATTGGTGACCTGGCTTTCCTCCTGCCCTTTAATTGGAATGCATGCCATACTGTGCACGGAGAACATTGTTGGTGTTGTGACCTGGAAAGTGTTGGGGCCGGTGATGGTGTGGGTGGTTTTAAAATGGCTGCTGTGGGGTCACAGTAGAGGAAGCTGCATTTCCTCACTGAGGGCATAAGATCTGTTAAATCTAAAGAATCCTAACTCTGTCTCCTGTGTTCTAGCCCTGGGTTTGGGAGGGGAGTTGGGTCTAGAGGTTAGAGCAGGGCAGCTGGGAGCCAGGACTCCTGGTGTCTATCCCCAGCTCTGGGAGGGGAGTGGGGTCTGGCAGGTTAGAAAAAGAGGAATTGGGGGGCAGGACTCCTGAGTTCTAGTCCCAGTTCTGACACCCACCTCTAGGATATCCCGGTTGTTCTTAGACATGAAGCTGTGTGGGTTAGTAACTGGTGACTTGGAAAAGCATCAGGCGTTTCTGTTTTGAATACAGTGAGGTCAGGGATTATTGGGCTATCAAGGGGTGGGTGTCTCACAGAATGACTCATGGGCCAGTGGAAGTGGTGGTGATCCGAGTGATGATGAGTTAGCCCTGAGATGGCTCTGTTCCTGATTTGTCCTGTAATAGTGTCACTTGACACCTCCTATGCTTGACTCTTCAATGGCTGTTTACCCTCAAATGGGGGCGGACAGAGAAGTTAGTCTGGTCATGTTTGAGTCAACCACTGTAATGGAAATCTGACTTCTAGAGTGACAAGAATGTGGTTTAGTAATTAGAGTGGGGGCTGGGAGTCAGGATGCCTGGGTTCTGTTCCCACTTCTGGGAGGGGAATGGTGTCTAGTGGTTAGCAGGAGTGGCTGGAAGGCAGGACTCCTGGGTTCTTTTCTGGCTCTGTCATTCACTTGCCTGGGGCACATCCCTTACCCTGTATGTGACTCTCTTTGGCCAATCTGACCTGACCTCCCAGCTGATCCTGCCCTTTCCCTGTTCTAGGTCCTGCCCATGGGATGCAAGTCACGGTGCTGAACCCTTTCAACGTGGTGATCCTCTTCCAGCCTGTTACCCTGCAGTGCAACTATCAGACCTCAGCCACCCAGCCGCCCATCGTCACCTGGAAGTATAAGTCGTACTGCCGGAGCCGCCTGGCCGATGCCTTCAGCCCTAGCAGTCAGGAGAACCAGATCAACAACCAGCTGCAGCAGAACAATCCCGGCTACAACCCCTATGTGGAGTGCCAGGACAGCACTCGCACCGTGCGGGTGGTGGCTACCAAGCAGGGCAACGCTGTGACACTGGGGGACTTTTATCAGGGGCGTCGGATCACCATCACCAACAGTAAGTTCCCAGGAAGGATGGAGGGTTTTTTACTGATCACTTATTAGCTAGATTATAGTAGCATGCCAGGGGGGCATTGTGCGAAGTGGAGGGCTTATGAGGTATAGTATGGTAATACACTGGGTGCCAGGAACTACAGCACTGGGGATTCTGCACCACTGCGCATGTGCAGAATTTGTGTCCCCTGCAGATTTCTTTGCTTCCCCGCAGAAAAATGCCCTTCTGATGGGGAAGGAAAGGGAAGCCACAAGAGTGTTCATATGACCCTCCCCAGCAGTATATTTTGGGTGCCCATGGCAGCTGGCAGAGAGGTAAATCACTGGCGCAGGGGATGGGACTGGGGAAGACGCGGCTGGTGGCTCCTACCCTGCACTGGACTCGGCTACTAGGCCTGGCTGGGCTGGGGATGACATGACTTCCTCTTTCCCTGCACAGCATCTGGGGCTGTCAGACCCACCCCCAGATTTCTCCTCTGGCTGTAGGAAGCTCTGCAAACTTCTCCCCCACTCCCACGCTTCTGGCACTCATCGCTCCTCAGCTGCAGGGGGAAGGATCTCTGTACAGGGAGCTGCTCCACCATCCGCCCAGACCCTCCTGCTGAGCCCCCACTCCCGCTGCTTCTGGACCACCCCAACGAGCCACACTCACCCGGATCCCCCCCCTACCGAGTCCCAACCCGCTGCATCTGGATCCCTGCCCCTCTCCCCCAGCATCTGAACTCCCCACATCCAGACCCCCGTCGAGCTCTCACTCTGACACCCAGACCCCCTGCTGAGCTCTATCCCTCCCCGCTGAGCCCCAACCACTTTCACCTGGACCGCCCTGCAGAGTCAGATTACCATGGCACCCAGACCCCACAACAAGCCCCTGTGTATCCAGATCCCCCTGCACCCACATTGCCCCACACAGAACCCTCTCAACCCACACCTGGATCCCCCCACACATGGATCCTGCCTTGCTGAGCCTGCCTGCCCACAGCTGGTGCACCTGGCATGAAGGGCCAGGGCCCTGGGGTGTTTCTGGGGCAGGGCCCTGGGGTGTCCTTGTGCTGTGTCAGGGTTGGGTGCAGCCTCACCATTGATTCTGTGTCCCAGAGGGGAGCAGCACAGTGATCTCACACCTCTGTGCAGCCAGTGGCCTCTGCTCCCCAATGTCATGCTGGAGCCTCCACATTTATTTGACAAATAAAATTTTCAGAATTTTTAATTTTTTGGTTGCAAAAAGCCCTCAGGAGTAACTGTGCCAGGTAGAGGGCTTGTTGTGCTGGTCATTTATTAGGTGTTTCATGATACACCTAATAAGTGAGTTGGGGGCTATTACGGTAGCGCTCAGGGGACTTCTATGAATGGTGTCCGATCACCATCACCCTCCGTATATATGGGGCAGAGGAACTGCTGTGTGTTTGCTTATTAGGTGCATTCTGGTGGGGCCTAGAGATCCCCCAACTGAGATGGGGATAACAGGAGGTGGGGGGGCAGAGCGTTTGTACTGCTTGCTTATTAGGTGTTTTATGGTAGCAGCCAGAGAAATGGGGGCAGTCCCCGCCCCAGCTGAGATTGGGGCTGTAGTGCCAGGTACTGCACAGACACACAGTGAGAGACAGACCCTGCCCCACAGATACAGAGCGGCGATTATCATCCCCATTTTATAGTTGGGGAAACTAAGGCACAGAGCGATGTAGTAATATGCCCAAGCTCAGGGTGCCTCTGGCAAAGCACCAACTGAACCCAGCTCCGAGTCCCAGTTCCGTGTCTTAACTCCAAGCCCGGATAATTCCTGTTTATGCCCGTGGCGTATTGGTTTCCAGAAGAATGGAACTAATACAGCAGTGGCTTTGAAACTGAAGTGGGAGCGCTGAAAAGAAAGGGCTGCCAGTAAGTTATTGGAAGAGAGTTCTCCACCTCGGATATGCAGCCACCTCTGGGGTGGAATGCTGCAACTCCTTAATAGCCCTTCGGTGTCACTCACCCAGTGCTGAAATGCAGCCACCTCTGGGATTTGACAAAACAATATTTAACAGTGGACAATAACAGAAGAGAGTTCAGGGCAGGTAGCAAGGAATGCTGTGTATGACAAGAAGCAGGTGGAGAAGTTGAGAGAGGCAGAATTGAGCTCCCTATGATAGCAGGAGCATTGTGGCCAAACTCCAACAATACCAGGGGATCTTTAACCGTTGTGCAAACTGTCACAGCCTGTGTTACACATTTCACCATGCTGGGGCATTTAGGCCAGCGCTGACTCTGCGGGGAGAGCGCCATCACCCAGCTCTTTGCAGCATAGCGCTGTTGGGGCATTGGGTTAGTGTGCGGGTGCTGAGTCCCCGATCTGTGACTAGAACTCCTGGGTCCAGTTCCAGCTCTAACCACTCATAGCCCTGCATGACCCACCCCTGGATATCAGAACAGCGGTATCTGGTTACGGTTAAGCTGAGTGCTCTCGTGTCAGATGCTCTGAGCTCCATTAGGAAGGGGAGAGGGA